GGCCTGCCACGCCCCCTCTCGGCCCGCCCAGATCCCGGGTCCGGGGCCGCCCCCGCCGCTGACGCTCGGGGGCTTGGGTGCGCCGCGCCCACTTGGCCCGGGAGGCGGAGCCGGCAGTGGGTGCACGAGGTTTTCCAGAAAAGTCAAGCCAAGGGTAAGGCTTCGGGGAGGCCACAATTCTCCAAAAAGCAGTGCAGCGGCAGGGGAGGATCCGGGGCGCTGGGGCGTGACGCGAGGGACTAGGTCGCAGTTCTGGGAGAGTCACGGTGCATCTCAGAACAGGTCGCAGAACAAATCCGTATCAGCCTTGCCATATCAGTTCCCGGGCTGCGAGCATTGGAAATCCACCGCCCAGCCCAGAACTAACCAGATTACGGATCCCCCGCGCAGTGAGCTGCAGGTTGTAGAGGCCCCGAAGCTCGTTCTTCTTGACAGATAATCCCGCGTTTGCCTTTCTTTACTGGTCCCTCGAGTGGGAAAGAACCCCCTGTCCCCTGTGAACCCACAGGTTCGGGTTTAGGAAGCGTTGGCCAGACATATTCCCAGAAAAGGCGAATAGAGCGAGGGAGTCTGCCCAGAGCTCCAGCCTTCACTGCTGTGCTGACTGTTCATTCACAGGTGTTTACTTGGCGCTTCGCTCGGGACGAACTCTGTACAGAAACGTTCTGGGAAGCAGGGCCTCCACCCTTACCCGTTCGCTCTGTGCAGGAAAGGGTAAGCTCATAAGAGATGGAAAGTGAAGCTTTTATGTCTGAGGGCAGGGAGCATGTCAAGGGTAGCGATAAGGAGGAACTTTGAGATTTCCCTGTATGAACATACTTTTTTCTCTGTAATTTTTTCATTATTTAAGAAAATCATCTTCGAGAGTTTACTGGGTCAGAGGGGCTGTGGAAAGGAATAAAATGACGAGTTCTCATGAAATGGTCTGCCACTGTGAGACATAGCCCGCCTTCTCTCCCTGCCCAGACTCACAGAGACTCCCTTCTCTGCCCCATTACCCTCGCACCCCACCCCACCCCTGTTCCACCCCCCTTTTACAGTTTCTGTCCTGATGGTGACGGGCCTAGACAGACGTGGGTCTCCTGTCTCTCTTGATGGAGATGTGGGAAGAAACCTTCCAGGTGTCAATGTTTCTCATTTAATGATTAAGGAGCACTTACTCTGTCTAAGGCCCTATGCTAAAGATTGGAAGTTACAAAGCCCCTTCGCTAGAGAATGATAAGGGAATAAAGAAAGTTCCACAAGAGAAGAATAAACCAGTTGTCCTGGGCTCAAGGTGAAGAAGCACTTCCTGTTGCCTGGAGTCACTGGGGAATGCCTTGTGGTGTGTTATTTGAGCCGACTATGGCTGGGATTAACAGCAAAGAGGAACAAGGACATCTCAGGCCATGTGCACATAAACAAGAGAGAACAAATAAATACTGCGCTCAGGGCGCTGCTAGAGGTCAAGAGGTTACTATGGCAAGCGATGAGACTAGAAAGAAGAAAGCCCAATTAACAAAAATTCTAAAGGAACGAGAGGGTCCTGTTGTAGGCCAGCCTGAAGTCTGCGTCCTTTACCACCAGCAAATGAAGAGACGATTTGGGTTTTAGGAGGATAGGGCATAATAATATTGCTATATATATATAATGAGAAAGTCATGGTCTTTTCAATTATACTGTTACTGGCTGTGTGACTTTGAACACAGTCACTTTACTTCTCTGCAGCTCAGTTTCTTATCTGTAAAATGAGAATAATAACAAATAGTTCCTACCTCATAGGATGGTTGGGGAGACTGAAGGAGATAATGGATGTAAAGGTGTGGAAGGTGCTTAGCACATAGTAAGTGCCCAATAATAGTAATAGTCCTCTTATTATTAATATCCCTTTTTAAAAAAGAGAGCAAGCCAGTCTCTGGTCCCTTTGACAAACATAGTTTCTAATCGTTTTGGTTTTTGAGTACTTACATTTATGGTTGTCTTCTATGTACGACTAGCATCATGGGTTTTCCATTTGCAGCACTGAAATTAAGATTCTCACCCAAACAAATCAAGCACACACACAAAAAAGGTCAACTCAAAAGGAAACATAATTAAAATAGTACAGTTGGCACATGGATATAGCAGATATTAAGAAAGTTGTACTGGAATGACCGAGGTTGGGAATACACGGCTGGGGGTGCTGGGGAGCCCTGATGTTTCAGGACAGAGCCGTGATGCGATTATATTGAAACTGTGTAAAGATGAGATTAGCAAACATGGAAGCAATAGGTGTGACTAGGGCAAGGTGAGAAGCAAGAGAACAAAGAGACCACTGAGACAGGAAAAGGGAGAATTGGGCAGGGGGGAGCTGGAACCCACCGCCCTGGCATCAGGAAAGAAACAGCCCAGTGCCAGACACAATATGCAGAGAGGAATCAAAAGTGCTTCATCACCAATTACAGGCCCCCAGGACCTCACCCCAAACTCAGGGGTCCAGATAAGTGCCAGGATTTAGAATTTGGGGATTTAGAATTTTAGTGCCAGGGTTTAGAATCTTAACAATATAGTACATATTTGAATACTAACTCTTTCAATTCGGGATGGGACAGCACTGCAAAATCAAACACATGGATATTTCTGCCCCAAAATGTAAAAAAAACAAAAAACAAAAAACTCACCAAGTGAGATAAATAAAGCCCAAAAGAGCCTCATGTCATTTCATGTCAAGTTTTGTTGCCAAATGACTTCTAATGCCTCCTGACAAAGTTGGTTTTGGTTTTTTGGAGCTTCTCAGATTTTAGAATTGTGGATGAGGGCTTGTGGGAAGTGTTCAAGATAACTCCACCCAGGTTTCTAACTTAAGGAAGTAGGTGAAAGGTAATGATGTCAAATGACCTAGGAAATGGTTTTAGGGAGATGGTTATTCTTTGACGTGTTAAATTTGGGATGGTTTGGGGGTACTGAGTTTTACAGCTGGAATGTCAGAGAATGAGAAACTCAGAAAGGAGACCAGAGATGCAGGGAATTGAATTTTGGAAGTAATTCTCTAAGGTGATGTCTCACACTGTAGGGAACTATTCTAGGCCATGTAGGGAGCAGGGGGACCCCGTGTGTGCCTGTCTGAGCAGTGTGCCTACCCTGGCAGGCTCCTTGTAACCTTCAGGGACTCTGCTACCTGCCAGGACTCCCCGCTCCTCTCCAGTTCCAGACGGATCAGTCTGTGAAGCCTTCTAACTTGGCTAAACTGGAGATCCCTCTTGACTCACACACCTGATACTAACAGGAGTACTGAGTGATTATAAGTCTCAATACCACAGTCCAAAGAGTCTCCCTGTAGGCCTCCTTGAACCACCAGCCGTGTGATCCCCTGGGACCTTTTCCCCATCTCGGACCTCTGAGCAGCAAACTGTCCTGATGGTGTCTGCCTGGACTGGATGATCCTAAAATTCATCACTTGTTACTTTTGTGTCTTTTTTCTTACCGCCCCCCCCCCCCCACCCCACCAAATGTTTAGTTGGGGAAATAGCACTACCTAGAGATGTGTGCTATAACCATGCCCCCTCTGTCTAACCCAGCACATTCTACCAGGAAGACCGTCATAACTCAAGAGCAGAGTGCTAAGACAGAACTTTGGTGACAAATACATGTAAATGGAAGCTGGTAAAAAGAAGAACCAAGGGAAAAAATTAAAAGGAATCAGACAAAGAGAGCAACACATTAGTGTTAGGGAAACCAGAGAATGGCTTTATGGAAATGTTCTCTTGAAAAGTTGTATCAGTCTGTGGTTGATTCGGGAAGGAGAATCAACCCTCAAGAATCATCTTCTCTTTGGAGAATCTTCCTCTAATTAATTATCACTACCCCTTTTATCTTAGGTCAGCTGTTCTCAAAGTGTGGTCTGTGGGCCCCAAGAGATCCCTGAGACTGTTTCAGGGGGTCCACAAGGTCAAAGTTATTTTCATAATTATACCAAAATATTTGCCTTTTTCACTGCATTGACATTTGCACTGATGGTTAGTGCAGCGAATCAAGGCAGTGACACCAAATTGCACAAGTAGTGACTGTGTTCTTCAATGTCACACACTTGCAGTAAAAGAAAAAAATGCCAGGTTCACTTTGAAATGCCCTTGATAAAACAGTAAAAACTAGTAATTGTATTAAATCTTCACTTTTGGGGCGCCTGGGTGGTGCAGTCGGTTAAGCGTCCGACTTCAGCCAGGTCACGATCTCGCGGTCCGGGAGTTCGAGCCCCGCGTCGGGCTCTGGGCTGATGGCTCAGAGCCTGGAGCCTGTTCCCGATTCTGTGTCTCCCTCTCTCTCTGCCCCTCGCCCGTTCATGCTCTGTCTCTCTCTGTCCCAAAAATAAATAAACGTTGAAAAAAAAAATAAAAAAAAAATCTTCACTTTTGAGTATAGGTCTTTAACATTCTCTGTGACATAATGGGAAATATATATAAATAATTCTGCTGCATACCCAAATATGATGGCCGTTTAAGAAAAAGCACTTCAGTGATCCTTTGATCACTTTTTTTCATCAATACCGTTTTTATTTGAAACAATGAGTGATAAACAAATTGTAGTTATTCAGATTTGAATATTTGGAAGACATTTTCTAGAAAAGGAACACAGCAGGACTATTATCTCATGGAAAAACCACTGAAGGGATGTGTTGCCAATGATAAAATTGGAGCTTGCAAGAAAAATCAGGATTTTGCAAAACTTGTAGCTGTTTTCCTTATTCCATAACTTCCCAGGCACTTAAAGTGTTTTCTGATAAGGTTGGTAGTAATATTAAGAAATGTGATTTGTTGGTATTGTACAATGAAATAAGCCATCATTTGAAAGACCTGCTTAGCTCAGTGAGCCAGTATTTTCCCAAAGACCAATATCTTTTTGATATCACAAAACCATAAATGGAAAAAAGAGCATTCCATAATGATTTCAGATTCCACATTGTAACTTGTCTTTAAAAGACCACCACTTGTCCAGTTTGGGGATAGTATTAGAGAATGTCCATGATTTCCCTGTAAAGGCTATGAAAAATACTTCTGTCTCAGGAAAGATTATTTGTTTAGGAGTTAGGGAGATGGAGAGAGAGATTAGTGTGGGAGACCTGTGTGATGGAACTATTCCGTATCTGAACTGGGATGCTGGTCACACAATTGTGCACTTGTGAAAAAATGGCACAGAACT